CCATGGCTCCCAGCCGCTGGCAGTGGGTGCTGAGCGATGGTGGGGTCCGTGCAGTGGGAAGGAGAGCTGGGAGAGCTGCACAGTCTTTCCTGGGACGCTTCCCAGTGGGCAGGCACCGAAAGGTGCTTCAGGCCTGTTTTTCTGCTTTAATTGGCTACTTTGGCTTTTGGAGCCCGTGCGCCCGTCTGGAGAGTTGATCTGTCTGTGCGGCTGAGCTCCGGGGCTCAGCACGGCCTCTCCACTGGGGATGGAGCTCAGCTTTTAATTTCCAAAGAGAAAAATCTTAAACCTAGGCCAGGAAGGGTAATTTTGGGGTTTGGGTTTTTTTTTTTTCTCCCCACTTGGCAACATAAACAGCATCCCTGACAGCTTTACACTGAGTTTGCCATGGCAACCTACAGCAGCCGAGTGTTTCTGACATCCCATCCCCGAAGCAGGAGAGGAGATGAACCCCGGCGGGTGCTGCCCAAGGGGCAGGACGGCCCCCGAGCGAGGGGCAGCGTATGGGGCTGGGATGTGGGCAGCCTCTGTACCGATGCAGCCGGGCAGGTGCTTGGGGAAGGTGATAAACTTTGATCCAGATGGCCCGAGGTTTGCTCAGTGGGCCTGATCCTGCCTGGCCGAGCTGCGCTGCCGGCCCAGCGGGGTTTGTGGCTCTGGGCAGGGGAGACGGCATCTGGTGTTGCTCTTCTTCAGCACGGTGCTTTCTGCCCTGGATGGTGGGAGATGTCCAGGCTGGAGCAAGATGTGGGGGGAGCCGAGCTGGGGTGCGGATTTACCCCTCCTTCATGGGTAAAAAAAGACACAAAACCCAACGAAACAGCTGAGCTTAGTCAGGGCTTGCTCCATCTCTAGTCATCTGCCAGGGTGGACGGGGTGGTGCTCTCGTCTGCCTGCCAGGGTCTAGTCCCAGTGCGCTGAGCTGAGCAGGGAGGATTCGCGCTCTTGCCTGGCGGCCCAGCAATAGCTGCTCAGGCAGCAGCCTCAGGCTGGTGTGTGCCGGGCTGCTGGTGCCGTGGGCTTTGCCACCGGCATCGCAGCGAGACCGCTCGTGGCTTGGATGAAGGTGTCACGTGTGACATGTCCAGCTGATTTTTTTTTGTTGTTGTTGTTGTCCCTCTGAGCAGCCCACTTTCCTCCCCCCCATGCTTAAAAGCCGGCGGGTCCCTTTCTTTGTGTCGGCAGCCGCT